TACACTTAACAGTAATCTTGTGAGAAATATACTATTATTAAATCCACATTATGGATAAAGAAAAAAGCCTCATGCTTGTTAAAAATTTACCCAAGTAGAAGAGATCATGTTTAAATTCATATTTTCTGATTCTAGAGCCTGAGATTCCAACCACCATTAGTGAACAGTGATTAGATTGGCTCTGAATTACTGACAGAATTTCTGATGTTCATATGTGCCAAGGTGTGTCTTAGGATGGGGGAAAGATGCAAGGGCTGCTAGTTCCAATATACAGGAGAAACTTTAATTCACTTTGCATTTGAAAGTTCCATATAGGTTCACAGTATGTGCAGGCTATCATGGGCATGTGTTGAAGAATTCAAAGAAGTATTAAATCCTTTCTTTTTGTGAGGTTTTATTAGCAAAATGGGCTAGGGTTGTCAAATAAAATACAAGATGCCCAGTGAAATCTGGATAAACAACAACAATTTATTTGAAATCCAAATTTAACTGAGCATCCTGTACTTTTTATTTGCTAAATCTGGCAACCCTACATTGGGCACATGAGCATGGACTACAGTGCTAGCCATGTAAGCTACAGTGACAGCAACTTCACACATTTTTATTTTTTAACTTTCTCATCTGTGAAGAAGGTACTTAGAGAATTTGTGAATAATAAGATAGACCTTGTCTGATCCAGAGTGCACTCCTCTTACAAGGCAAAATGAGCCTTGTGAAAGTCTCTATTCAAAGTCTGGGGACCTGTTCATTTTTGGTAAACTCTGTGTGAGAATGTCATCTCCTTAGTCTCTCCCCTTCTGCAGGGACTTGACTGCAGAAATAAGAGATCTACATCTGGCCAACGCTGGTAATTTGATGTCCACTTGTATTGTTGGGAATTAGAGACTGAAAGTTAGAAAAGGAATTAGTTGGGCATTGAACAGGAATAAAATGGCTGTGGCTGTAGTTTATCACTATTGATAAGCAGTGGACCAGTGGCAGAGGAAGAATTAAGAAGGAAGATGATGTGAAAGATAAATTATATGACTTGGTGTCTGATGGGCAAGGCAAAAAATTCAGTAAACCTTGGTTCTGAACAAATTTACTTTGCCAGAAAAATAGCTCTGCCCTGGGACTGGATTCCTAAAAACATAAGTTTTATGTAGGACAAAGATTTTCAACAGATATAATATTAGTTGATTTTTTAATGTAGTTCTCAGCTGCTCTATAATTTATAGTGGCTTTTTCACCACAGATTTTTCAGATGGTTTACACCAGTGGTTCTCACCCAGGGATAGTTCATCTTCCCTCCCTCCCTGCCTTCCTCCCTTCCCTCCTCTCACCCCCTGGGGAACATCTGGCAATGTCTGGAGCCATTTTTGGTTGTCAGGACAGGGATTTCTTCTGACATCTAATGAATGGAGGCCAAGGACACCAGTAGACAGTCCTCCAGCCCACTCCCCAAACAAAAACTATCTGGTCCAAAATGTCAGTAGTGCCAAGGTTGAGAACACTGGTTTACACTGTGCTACTTCTAAATAATTCTAGACTCA